CCCCGTGCTTGCCCCGGGGGATTCTGGGCAGGGCCAGGTGGCCCTGTGGTTGCCCCAGGGGATTGTGGGCAGGGCCGAGTGGCCCCGTGGTTGCCCCAGGGGATTCTGGGCAGGGCTGAGTGGCCCCATGGTTGCCCCAGGGGATTGTGGGTAGGGGAAGGAGGTCCCCACTCACGGACAATCATGCGGGCACAGACGTCGCAGAACTTGGGCTTCTTGAAGTAGTGCTCCTTGAACTTGTGGGGCTTGTCATTGACGGGCGGCGGTAGCTCCGGGGGCGGCTCGGGCTCCTCCTCCTCCTCTTCCTCCTCCTCGTAGATGTAGTAGAGGGGCCCCCCCGAGGGGCTCACCAGGGCCCCATTCTCGGGCTGCGGCTCGGGTGTCTCAGGCGGCGGCTCCGGGGCCTTGCGCTGGAAGAGGTGCCGGAGCCGCTGGATCTGGGGGAGATGGGGCTCAGCAGGGAAACTGAGGCACAGAAGATGGGGGGGGGGGGGTCCTGGGCCGCGTGGCAGTGATGGAGGCAGGGGTGGAACCCAGGAGACCCCACAGCCCTTCCCCAGCTGGGCATGGAAACCAGCCCCCACTGCCCTAAAGCACCAGGCGCTCCCCCTCTTCCAGGCCTGGGATACAACCCAGGCACCCAGGCTCCAAGCCCTCCGGCCCACTCGGCCCCCTGGGGAGATGCTGGCTGCTAGGAAGACACAGATAACACCCCCCCAGGGACCTTCAAGTTGGGGGGGCGGCAGTGGCAAGGCCCTGCCCCACCAGGGCTGCCCAGGACCCCTGGGCTCCAGGACGTACCTGGCCCTCGGCCGTCTCTCCCGGTGAGGCCGGTGGCTCCAGCGCTTCCTTCTCCGTCATACTGCCAAGGCAGGGTCGGGGTCACGGCTCTGGCTCCCTTGCTCCTGTGCCCCCCAGTCCCAGTCCCACTGTTCGGGGGCTGCGGGTCAGAAGTGCGGGGCATGGGTGGGGCTGGGGGGCAGGAGTGAGAGGCACTGCCAGGGCTGCAGGGGCTCACCCCTCTGGGGGATAGTGTCACTGCCCCCCCCACCCTGCAATGTGCCCACCTTTGGGTTTCCCCACCAGCTCCCCCAGACGCTCGTACACGGAAAGCACCAGAGCTGGCCCCCCCCATGGGTCTCTCCCACCCCCAGGGACAGACAGCAGACCCCTAGGGCCCCCGCAGCTCTTGTAAGGCCGAGGGGGGTGACGGGGAGGGGTGCAGGGGCTCTGGGGTGCAGGGGGCACTCACTGTGGCCAGGCTGGGCCGGGGCCTCTCACTCCAGCTCCAGGCGGTGCCCGCGGACGGGCCAGGACAGCTGCGCCCGCATGACAGTGAAACCCGAGCTGGGCGGGGGCTGGCCACACTCATGGGGGCCAGGGCACAGCTTGGGGGACTGCCCCATGCTGGGTTGGGGGGGGTACAGCCAGGGCCCAGCCCATAGCATATCTTGAGGGGGGGGTCATGAGATCATAACCCCATGGGTGGGGGTCACACCCCCTTGCCCTCCTTGCATGGAGGGGGGCAGGATGTCAAACCCAGTTCTCCTCTCCCCCCCACCACAGTGTAACCATGCCCCTTGCAGATGAGGTCAAAGGCCAGGGGTCAGACTCGGAGACCACCTTTGGTGACAGACGATTTTTTTTTCTTTTTATATTTAAAAATCAAAAAATCCCCCCGCCCCCCCCAATAATAATAATAAACCCGTTAAATAAAATGTACAGTGACCAACCCAGCGCGGCCACGCGGCGCCC